AAGAAAGTCTAAGCGGCATTCAAGTGACTCAAATCTCGACTTTTCCCCAGAAAGAAAAGTCAATTCAAGAATCGCCCGACGGAAGTCTCGACTTCGACCAGGAGCTATCAAGAGAATGCATGAAGGGATGTCGTCAGAGGATGAACTCTCGGACACTTGTTCTGCAATCGCTTCGGATGATACAATATCTAGCACAGGACAAATCAGAGAAGTATTCACAATCACTGCTGATCAGTTCACTCAAATACTTCAGGAAGCTCTAGCCAAACAACGTGAAGAAATTAGAGCTGAAGTGAAGACAGAAATGAAGTTGGCTATCCAACAAATGAGAGAACTGTTAAAATATTGCAGATGACAGTGATCCAGAAGTGGATGAAGTCATCTTGGCTGATACACCTCCCAACGGCAATAACGCTGGGGGTGGTTTAACGGATCCTCCCAATAACGATATTGGGGGTGGTTCAATAGCACCTCTCAAAAGGGGTGGCCTAACTCATTCTCCTCAACGCCCTTCGAATGAAGAAAGAGACGATAACGAGAAAATGCAAAAGCTTGAAGACAAAATCAATGCTTTGATGACGGCTCAAGAAGTTAAGAAGACGGGTATTCCATGTCCTTATCCGAGGGAATGGGATTCAATACCATACCCGACCAAATTCAATCTGATTAACTTTACACCGTTTGAGGGGAAGAGTTCGCCGATTCAGCACTTGATTTATTTCAAGTCTCATTTGGGCATGATCTCTGGAAACGAGGCTTTAATGGTCCGGTCATTCGTTGGCACCCTTCGTGGGCCCGCCTTCGATTGGTACCGACGGCTCAAGCCAGGGAGCATCAATTGTTGGGATAACATGGAAAGTTTGTTCCTCAGCAATTTCTTCGATGATGACACCGAAGTGTCAATCGGAACCCTTCTAGATGAGAAGCAAAAAGACGGAGAGTCAGTTGACAACTTTGTCAAACGTTTCCGTAACAAAGCAATGAATTGCAGAGATCCTATCACGAAGGAGTTCATCCTGCAAACATGCCACAATAACCTCTCCATCGATGTCTTGGAAGCTCTGGGGGTCGTGCCATCCACAACTTGGAAGGAGTTAAAATCTCGGGGTGAACAAGCTGAACACTTTCTTAAAAGAAAGAAAGCTGAGAGAGGCCAACCAATGACATCTGCAATCATTGAGAATGCGACTCTCGATCCGAAGTTTCAAAAGGAATATTCTTTCGAAGATGATGAAGCTCCAGCCATCTTGGAATACCTCCTCGCTAATGACAAAATCGAGCTACCACCTATTAAAGATCAGGATGGTGCTAAAATGATTACGGATCCAAATTACTGTGCGTACCACAGAAGGGTTCTTCATCCCACTGAGATTTGCTTTGGACTCAAAAATAAGATCCAAGCCCTAATTGACTCCGGCGTCATAACGACGAAAGAAGTCGAGTAAAGACGACCATAAAACTCCATTGGGTACACGAGTATAAACTGTTTCCCCTCACTCCGAAAAGTATACGAGTATAAACTGCTCCTCGATACTCCAAAAGGTATATGAGTCTAAACTATTTCCTTTCCTTAACGGGAAGTTCCTGGAGAATCCTATATTCTTAAGGATAACCCGAACATATGACTGAGGTTAACGTACTCCTCGTTATACCCAGTTTTACAAAGAAAGCTGGGGGTCGATAATTCATGTAATGGGAAGTTCCTGGAAGAATGTTAAATATAATATTCTTAGGGATAACCCGATTATTATGGACAGAATGATAAATACTAAGCTCCTATTATGATTTTCGAACACTCTTTTGCTGAGATGAGATTCGATCACTTCGTTAGATCAATCTTCCCTCACAAAACCCATTTGGTCAAACCTTTAAACAGTTAGGACCGAAGCCAAAATCCCCTCTCGATTCGTTCCATGAACGAGAGGTCCACAAATTGAACGATCAAACCTTTAAACAGTTAGGATCGTCTCAAATTCCCATCTTGGTCAAACCTTTAAACAGTTAGGACCAAAGCCAAAATCCCCTCTCGATTCGTTCCATGAACGAGAGGTCCACAAATTGAACGATCAAACCTTTAAACAGTTAGGATCGTCTCAAATTCCCATCTTGGTCAAACCTTTAAACAGTTAGGACCAAAGCCAAAATCCCCTCTCGATTCGTTCCATGAACGAGAGGTCCACAAATTGAACGATCAAACCTTTAAACAGTTAGGATCGTCTCAAATTCCCATTTGGTCAAACCTTTAAACAGTTAGGACCAAAGCCAAAATCCCCTCTCGATTCGTTCCATGAACGAGAGGTCCACAAATTGAACGATCAAACCTTTAAACAGTTAGGATCGTCTCAAATTCCCATCTTGGTCAAACCTTTAAACAGTTAGGACCAAAGCCAAAATCCCCTCTCGATTCGTTCCATGAACGAGAGGTCCACAAATTGAACGATCAAACCTTTAAACAGTTAGGATCGTCTCAAATTCCCATCTTGGTCAAACCTTTAAACAGTTAGGACCAAAGCCAAAATCCCCTCTCGATTCGTTCCATGAACGAGAGGTCCACAAATTGAACGATCAAACCTTTAAACAGTTAGGATCGTCTCAAAACTCCCACTTGGTCAAACCTTACTACAGTTAGGACCACAACCAAAATCTCCTTTCGATTCATTTTTGCGAACGAAAGGTTTACTTTTGAATTGAGTAATCAAACCTTATGACAGTTAGGATTATTCAAACCAATCCAGATTCTCTAAGTGGAGATCCCACTTTGAGTTTCTTTACTCCAGGAGATAGAATATAAAATTCTTCCTCTCCGATTCTGGGTTCATCTCTACCAACAAACAAGAGACCAGGAGATAGAATATAAAATTCTTCCTCTCCATCATCGGGTTCATCTCTACCAACAAACAAGAGACCAGGAGATAGAATATAAAATTCTTCCTCTCCATCATCGGGTTCATCTCTACCAACAAACAAGAGACCAGGAGATAGAATATAAAATTCTTCCTCTCCATCATCGGGTTCATCTCTACCAACAAACAAGAGACCAGGAGATAGAATATAAAATTCTTCCTCTCCATCATCGGGTTCATCTCTACCAACAAACAAGAGACCAGGAGATAGAATATAAAATTCTTCCTCTCCATCATCGGGTTCATCTCTACCAACAAACAAGAGACCAGGAGACAGAATATAAAATTCTTCCTCTCCATTATCGGGTTCATCTCTACCAACAAACAAGAGACCAGGAGACAGAATATAAAATTCTTCCTCTCCATTATCGGGTTCATCTCTACCAACAAACAAGAGACCAGGAGATAGAATATAAAATTCTTCCTCTCCGATTTCGGGTTCATCTCTACCAACAAACAAGAGACCAGGAGATAGAATATAAAATTCTTCCTCTCCATCATCGGGTTCATCTCTACCAACAAACAAGAGACACCTTTACAACTGCCCTACACATGGCCACTAACTGTTCAAGAACGTGGGAAACGTCGTGGGCGAGAATCACGTGGATAACTGCCAAAATAACGGAGTTTGAAACGTGGGAAGACAGTTAAGATGAAAACTGCCTGCGGTTACTGTTCCGCGAGACAGTGTTTACTGTCTCGCGGGCCAAGACAGTGTCTCGCGGGCCGAGACAGCAAACACTGTCTCGCCCGTCGAGACAGCAAAAGCTGTCTCGCGAACCTGTTTTCTGCCAACTGTTCTTGGAGGTTATAAATACCCTCCTAAGGCCATTTTTCCCAGGGGGCTGATCATTGTGAGTACTTGAGAGCAATCCAGAGCAGAGAGAGAGCAGAGGTGCTGATCTTACGGCCAATCCTTGAAATTGAGCTTTGACTTGATTTCAAGAAGAACGACTATCTTACATCGATAAGATATCGTTTTAATTTCTCACTTCGATAAACGAAGTCAGAATCATAAACCCCTCACGGTTCAATCAGAATCTGTGATTTGGTGGTCCACGAGTCAAAGCGCTCCCGGCACAGGCAAAGATCCCACGAAAGCAGTGATCCAAACAACGATCCTGCGTTTATTTTCTCAAGAGTTGTAATTTTCTTTTTGTTGTGTAAAAGAGTCTTATAAAAAGGCTGTTTTCTTTGAATTTATTGTAATCGACCAAAGATATAATGAATTCGACAACAAATTCGACTTTTGGCGAAAACAATGTGGATGGCAAGTTACTCGTGTAATATAATCATTAATTTCAGAATTATCCATGTATATACGTGTCAATGCCTTTCTCGTTCTTTCACAAGATCTCATAATAGTAAAATTCTCTTTAACTTCCATAAGAACTAGTCGTGAACACCGTGCAAAACACGTCATATCATTTTTTTTCGTTACAGTAATCTCGATTTTTAAATGCTACAATAATATTTGTTTTAGATTTTTTAAAGTGCTACAATTCCCGCTTCTGCTACAGTTTAAAAATGCTACATTATTACCGTGTGCTGTATTGACTTTTTTAAAAGTACTACAGTATCCAGTTTCATATTTGCTACAATAATAATGCTACAATGAATATTACTATAGTATTACTGTAGCATAAATAGTGAATTTTGGATTCTCCCATTTGTATAGAGGAATAGATTTTTTAAAGTGCTGCAATTCCCGCTTCTGCTACAGTTTAAAATGCTACAGTATTTCCATGTGCTGCAGTGATTTTTTAAAAATTGTTACAACATCCAATTCCATGTTGCCACAGTAATAAATGCTACATTAAAATATTACTATAGTATTTACTATAATATGAATAGTGAATTTTGGGTTCTCTCATTTGTACAGAGGAGCAAATGAATAATTACAACAAGACTAGAATAAGATTCGCATCAATGGATAAAAAAAATAATATTAAATTTCGGAATTTATGGCAAAATACTAATAGGCCGACAGACCATTGCATTTCCGGAAAAAGGCCTAGCAGTTTTTCCGGCCTGGTCCAGTTGGCACCAAAGTAACTGACAATAAAACTCATATCCGCGATCAGCAATCTTCCCTGCTCCGCGGATCAGCTGACACAAGTCACGTGCCCACACAAGGGTTTAAGCTCCTCCCGGAGGTTTAAGCGCCTCCGCCTCCATTTCCCCAATTGCCCCCTGAAAATGCCCTGAGCAAACCCTAATTTTCCCCACCATGATGACCCTAATTCCACGAACCCTAATCCTCCACGTCTTCCCGCTACGATCCTCCATCATCCTTTTCCACTCCGCCGCTGGCGCCGTCGCCGGCGAGGAATCTCACCGGCGGAGGCTCGATTCGCACTCTTACGCATCATCGTCGTCTTCTTATCGAAGAAACTACGATGAGGAGAATAGAAGCGTAAAGGTCACAGTTTGGTGGGATTTCGAGAACTGCCAGGTTCCTGCAGGCGTGAACGTGGAGAGGGTTGCGAATAGGATCACGGCTGCGCTCCGGTCGACGGGGATCAAGGGGCCGGTGACGATCACGGCGTTTGGTGACGTGGCGCAGATGTCACGCGCTAAGCAGGAGGCTCTCACTTCCACTGGGATTTGCCTCAATCACGTGCCTCACCGTCGGTTCCCTCTTCGTCCTTTAAAATTGTCATTTCTTTCGAGTTTTTCATCAAAGATATTTCCTTTTTTTCGTTCAGTTATTATATTATAAGTAGAAAATATGTGCGAGATCGAGACATTTATAGTGGGTTTTTCTTGTGGAGAGTAAAAGGTAACTGTGAATCTTTATCTTAAAGAGAGTTGCGTACATATATAGATATTGGATGTGTTTCCCCTTGACTTTATAAGAAATTTAGCAGAGTCAGATATCTATACTACTCTATAAAAACATTGTGAAGGTAGGCAGAAGTGGAGGAATGAGTAATTGTTCCTTCAAATTGTCAAAGAATAAGGGTCATTTTAGTAAAGGATGAGGGAAATTTGGTCATTTGTAAGTATGTTATTGATGTGGGTTTCATCTCTTCCTCCCTTCCTCCCCCTTCTCCAGCAGATTCCATTACGTTTAGATTACAGTTCCTCCTTCTCTATTTTAAATTTAAATTTTATTCTTCTCTTTCTAGAAGGTTCCAGTACTTTCGTTCCTCTATCTCCTCCTTAAATTTAAGATTTCATGCGTGATCTTTTTAAAAAACATATAATTGAAAAAAAAATCAAAATGCAACACAATGTAAGCTAGGTAGTGGCATATCATAAATGATAATCAATAAACTGTTATCTAAATTTTAAGTTTGATTTCATTTCTCTTACTAAAATTAAGGATACAATAATAAATTTTTAGATGCATAAAAGATATGCATACTTTTTAAATAAATTATTATTATTTTGTTCACATGCACTATGCACATGTGTTTTTTACTAGAAATACTATAAATACACATTAAATGATTAATAACATAATTAACATGCATAAGACTGAGAACTATTTAGATTGAAGTTTAATATTACTTGCACATGCCAATGTACTAGTTAGAATTTAAATTTTATCATCGTTTCATATCCTTGAACGGATGATTTAGTATATGCTCATAATTCACCTCATAGTGCAAGAGAGATAAACGTACAAATTTACTACATGTTTAGATGGAATACTCTTTTAAATACTCATAGTTTGCCATGGTTCTGTTTCATTCTGATGATAACATGTACTCATGTAGTAATGAATTCCATTCTTGTTCTTTTTCTCTTGTTGAAAACACATTAAACACGTAGTGTATCCTACATGGTGATGACTAATGTGATATATGTTAATACTTTATATAAATGTTGGTATCTTATGTAGCTTTAAATTGTTCAAAATTGATCTAAAAATGCTATCAGTAAGAAAACTCAATATTTTGTTTGTGAATTTTGTTTCAGTGCTCTGGTTTCAGTAATGCCCTCCATTGATTTATTTGATACAAATATTGTTTCACTTCCTTGCCTCATTTTTGGTATAAAGTGATATCCGTTTTCATAAGTTTCTAGCAAAACGCTCTAATGTAGGTGGGAAGAACAGTGCTGATAGGTCATTTATGGCTGATCTTGTCTATTGGGTTACTCAGAACCCTCCTCCTGCCCACTTCTTCTTGATATCAGGCGACAAGGATTTTGCCAACATTCTTCATCGTTTGAGGATGAGCAACTACAACATACTTCTTGCTAGCAATGACATTGCCAGAGGTGTCCTCTGTAGTGCTGCAACAATTATGTGGCCGTGGATTGAATTGGTTAAGGGAGAAAATGCCCATGCTAAGCACTTTAACGACCCTCCAGATGGGTTCTATGGTTCTTGGTATGGCCAGTATAAAGGGGCTCTTGAGGATCCCTTTGTAGATAGTGAACAATGTGTTATATCTCAAGTTGACGAATCAATGGAATCAATATCAGAAACTAAGATTCGTCCCATCCCTAGGGTGGTGGTGAATGGGATTCGTAATGTGTTGCATTCTTACCCTGAAGGAATGTCCATTTCAGAGCTCCGTAAAGAGCTCAGAAGAAAGAATATAGCTTTCGATAAGGATTTATATGGCCACAAGAAGTTCTCCAACCTTCTCGCTTCAATGCCAAACATTGTAAAGTTTATACCTGATCCGTCAGGTGCTGTTCAACCATTAGTTGCTGATAAACGATTATTGGAATCAGCTGATGTGAATTCAGCGCCCTCCAGTGATCCATCGGAGCTCAGATTGAAATCCGTCAAAGATACTCAAACCAGTAAGGTGAATAATAGCCGTACTTTAGCTCGGGGTGAAAAACCATTAACAACGGCTCCTCCAAATACTATGGATGTGAGTGCTCCTATGGCTACAGGCCCTACACCAGTATCTGTAGGTACCAGCGCTGTTTTGCCTACTTCATCTGTACCTATACAGGATGTTGCAGCCAAAAAAGTTGAAACAGATGAATCTACAATAACGGATCAAGGTTACAATGCTGAAGTTAAGGAAGGATTTTTCAAAAGGATCTGGAAAACTTTGACTGGTAGCAGAAGTGTTGATTCCTCGCCCAGTCATGAGAATCATATAATATCTGAACAGGCTTCCACTTCAAATGAGAAGACAATTAAAGATGACGAGCCTAAGAAAGCAGAATTTGGAGGGAAAGCTGAATTAGTGAAGGAAAAGTCTTCACATGCACTGAGTTCTTCAAATACTTCTGATGCAAAAGACTCTGTTCCTGTAGAGAGAACATCTGAGCAATCTGAGAAGCACAGTGACACATCTAATCCCAGAACGGGGCTTTTTGGCCAATTAGCAAACTGGTGGCAGTCCAGGAAATCTGATGCAAGATATCAGAAGGATAGCTTTGAATCCTTTGGAAAAAACTTGGAAGCTAATGGAAATGTAGATGTCAAAGATGATATTCCTGTTAGTTTGCATCCTGAAACTCATGCAATATTTTCAAGATCTGACTTTTGGGATACCTTAGAATCATTCTTGCTTACTTCTGAGGGTGCTGATCTTATATCAAAATCAAGTACAAGGTATTATACCTTATCATATAGTTTTCCTTTATAATTCTTTAATCCTTCCCGTTTTAGCTATATTTTTCGGTAATTATGATAATCTTGTTTACTACATTGATGAGTTACCTTTCAAGCTGCCAAAAGTGGCTTTGTGAAGCATGCTAATTTTGAGGGCATCAGAAAGGGTTCTTGAGATAATAATCTATTCTCTTGTTCTTCCTTTTCCTTTTCCTTTTTCTTTTTATGCATGCATGTTTCTTGTGAGTAAATAAGCATCAAACTTGTAGTATGTATGTACATTTTTGCACAATGGGATATCAGTGTCTGACTATCTATCTCGATATTGATTTTTTCTAGTCTATATATAAAGATGTATGTTACAAGATGAAATTGTGTTACCTAAAGATTCTAGATAGCAAAGAAATTGATTTTAATATTAAGGGAACAGGTTGGAAATTACAGTGCTAAGCTTGTTCCCGGACTCAACAAGCTCTTAAGTTCCTGATTCTTTATGTTGCGTTGAGATGATCTCTTGGTTTCCTAAAAGGTTAAATTAACTGAGAAGATGAATTGTTCAGTTTGAGAGGAATTGTTGATGTTAAGATGACTTTTTGAGGAAATCTAGAATTTTGATGTGCGTTAAATCTGGCAAGGAAAATTCTTTTAATTTTTGTTATGAGGTAGCAAAGGCAGAAAGATAAATGATAAGCAGAATATAAAATGATATTTACTTAAAAGGAAAGAAAGCTAAGAGAAAGATAAATACCTCCAGAGGACTCAGGAATTTTAACTTTCAGCCTTAAAATAAGCTTCTAAGTGAATAAAAGGACTTAAGAACTTCTACCTATGGAGTATGGAGGCCCACCTGAATACCTAATCCAAACTTCTGAGGGCTGAACAAGATCCTATAAGGGCATGTTTGTTTCACTTGGAAACCTATGGAAAAGCTTGGAAACCCTCTGTCACATTAGGAAACTATCAGAAAAATCTATTTTGGTTTCTTATTATTCTGTTCATTTCAACTTTTGGTTTCAAGAAAACTCCTTTCCATGTGATTTTGAGCGGGGTAAAACAAAATCCTAGAAAACTTTGGAAAACCCCAAAAATGTTTTTTCCACATAGAAATGGGTTTTACCATTATTTAAAGAAATGAAAGAAACATGCCCTAATACCAATCCTCTATCGTGTGGCATCTAAGTTGTTCAACTACAAAATTGCATCTTGCGTCTTCAGATAAATAGACATGAGGTCATCTCTAAATTTGCTCAAAATCTCTGTATATACCCGCATGCACTAAAATTGGGACGAATATTGTAAGCAAGGTCCTCTAACCTAGGTCTAGGTTTGAACTTTGAACCTCTAAGTGACAAAATTCAGTCCAAACTCTTATTGTTTGAGTACATCATTAACAGTTTGATTTCTGCTCTGTGAAAAGTAACACTCATAGGAAAGATTTAAAAAGTTGTTGGATAGCCATGTGTTTGAGATGTATTATCAAATTTGGTTTCCAATCAGCCGCTTGGATCAACTTCTAGGAGATCAGGCTTCACCAAGAAAAAATGATTTTCCTATCATAGATGTGTGCTTTACATTAGGGCTGGTCAAAGCTTGATGAATAAATTGGTAACTTAGTTGAGACCCATTGTCAACAGAATACTTGGACTTTTGTGTGTGCGCATGCGCATGCGTGCATGCATGCAGGTGCATGTGTGTTAGTGCACGTGTCTGTGCGTGTGTGGACGGGCAAGCGGGCTGGCGGGCGTGTGTGGGAAACTGAGAGAAGTGGGTGGCATTCAATACATGAACCTGCAATTTTTGGTCCTATTGATGTCAAGGCCTAATTTTCTTGTCAGGTATCTTACCCTTTGGATCTTATTTTGAATGGATTCCCTTGGGAGTTTTTTATTATTATACCTAAATGCATGTATAGGTATCCAAGTAAAGCTGACAAATAGAGAACTTGTTATGCATCATGAATGACTTGCAAGTCCTGTTACTACTCGTTATCACTTATCTTGGGTAGATGGGAAAATTTCCCCTGGATATTGGGCAGTTGTTCCTTAAGCAAAATGCTATCATCCTAGCAAATTATCTTTAACAAATTTTATTCAAACTCATTGTGTCTACTAGTTTTGGGCTTGAAAAATTCATTGGATGCTTTATCCTGGGGCAAGAAAATTTATCAGTTCTTCGTATTCAGTGCTTTCATGATTGTTTTGAATTCTTCTGCACAAGATTAAATGTTGTTTCTAACTTTGGTTTTAAACTCCATAACTTTTTTATTTTGCCTCAAGTATTTTCTTTATTATCAACTGATTCAAGCTTGACCTATATAGATTGTAACTTTTATCATTATTTTTCCTCAGGGATCAATTGGTGCATAAGCTACAAAAAGAAGGACCTTGCTTTCTTAAAGATCTTCAAGAATGCCACATGTATAAGTTGGTAGAACTGTTAATATCTGAGAAGAAATGGGTAGAAGCATCTTCTGATAGTTTCCCTTTTAAACTTGTGCTACCTCTCAGAGGTAGGTGCCCGGATGTCCATGGGTCCAAATCCAATGGTCTAAGTACCCTGTTTTCAGGCAGAAGACCGAAACAAGATGATTCATATACTGGACAGGAAGAAACTTATCCTCAGAATTTTGCAGAACTGAAAGCTTGGTTTCAAAAATCCTTTAACGGGACTGAGGATATTAAACCAGAAGATTTCCATAAGCTTTTCGAGAGCAAGTTCAATAAAAAACTTGTTTGTTATGCTTATGGTTATCCTACAATCCGAAGCCTACTCTTTGCTTGCTCAGCTGATAACGGTTCTACTAGTCAAGGAAAGAAGAAGAAACTTCCCAGCAAGGAAGAAGTTTTATCCGATTGCCACAAACTCATAACTGAGCTTCTAAAACAAAACCCTGATGGGTTTAACATGGGCAATTTCCGGCCATTATTCTTTCAAAAGTACGGTTACATTCTAGATTGTCAAATGGTTGGCTACCCGAAGCTGATATCGTTATTACAGGACATTCCTGGGGTGAGAACAGAGGATTCTTTTGTTCTGCCTGCCAGTATAGCCACCAAGAAAACACTTACTTATGGCCTAGATAGTGAAAGCACAAGCAATGGTGAAGATTGGGAGGAGTTGGGGCCTGTATCTGATGATAAGAAACAAAGTGGCTACACTAAAGTCTCTCTTTCAGATGAAGAATTCACAGATTCTGATGACGAGGTTCCTTCCCAATTCGATGGCCTCACAAAGCAGCCTAAGAGGGAAGAGGAAGATAGCTCTCTAATGCAGATTCTCGATTCTTGGTATGATACAAAGGAAGGTGTTGTTAAAAAGGACGAAGATCGGCCTGCTGATGGGCTGGTGGATTGTTCCAAAAGCAATCCTCAGAAGACTTCAGATCTTTCTCTTGAAGGTTGTCCTAATGTGAGGTTGAGGCCCCCAAAGCGCTATTCTTTTGTTGTCGACTCTGGAGATGATGAGAAAGATAGGCTAGTAGATAACGTACTGGGTAGTCTCAAGAAAGCAGGAGATTCTAGGTTGCAAAGTTAAATTTATCAGTAGTTAGTTGAGATAGTAGGAAAAATCATGACGGCATTATAGAAGCTTCTGCAAGCGCTTTTTTGAACTTTCTTTTTTGTCGGAATAATGTGGAAGCAAGGGTCTTATATCTTGCTTTATCAAGGGGAATGAGTGATTATATTTCTCTGATTGCCTTTTTAAGATTTCCATCAGAAAGACACGGTTTTAAGAGCTTCTAGCAAGTCTTCGAACTGTTTGGGAAACAACAATCATTCAATTGACAGAATTCATGAAGGCGCTGTTCTGATTTGAAATACAGGGTAGCCCAAATCCAAATCTTCAGTTTGGGTTTTCTTTTTAAAGTGGTATTTGAAATCCAGGTATTTTATATGGATGATTTTAAAGCTCAAAACTAAGGATTTCAAATCATAGCCTAACCCTTGGAATTTGTCAAATCCCCGATCCCGATCGCTCCTCTCTCTCGGTTCGTCTCCGCTCTCTCCCTCAGAGTCGCGATCATCGCAGGTATCTCTCTCCCTCTTTCCCCCCTTAAGTTGTTGCATGCCCTAACTCTAATCGTTCCCTCATTTCTCTCCCCCCCCCTCTCTCTCCTCATATTGCTTCATGCCCTAACCCTAACTGCTCTCCCTCCCTCCCTCTCTCCCTCTCTCTCTGCTGTAGCTTTCACCGACATCTGCTGGTCTCATGGAATTGGGGGATTAGGGTTTTATCGTCAAGATTCTATACTCGCATTTACTTTTGGTAACCGACTCCTCTTTCTCTTTGTCTTGAGATTCATGTTGCTCAAAACACTAATTCTGGTAAATTTTGAATCTTATGAAAAAGCGGTAATTTTTATATTGACTGAACATAATTGTGGGAATTGTACATTAGTAATGTCATTATTGCAATCCTCTGAACATTTCGTTAATTTGATGGCTTAATTTTTCTATGGATTTCAATTTGGTGTCTAGTTTCTTATGGTTTAGCATATAATGTGATATCATATTGATAAAGGTGTATGCTAATTCACTAGTAAATTGAAAATTTTTTGCGTTGTCTTACTGGATGTATCCTAGTTGAAGTATGGTTTACTCCATTATTTGAGGAGTCTACATTCAAACTGATTTTTTGGTTGAGGTTGATGCGCAAGAGAATGAAGTTATCATGTTATGAGCTTGCTCTATTTTAGTGATTCTTTGGCGAACACTATTTGAATTTTATTGGCTCAAAAATTTGGAAATGCACTCGAACCTTTTATGTTGTTAAAAGTGCCTCAAAACCCTAATTCTGATAAAATTTGAATCTTATGAAAAAGCGGTAATTTTTATATGGACTGAACACAATTGTGGGGATTGTACATTAGTAATGTCATTATTGCAATGCTCTGAACATTTCGTTAATTTGATGGCTTAATTTTTCTAAGGATTTCAATTTGGTGTCTAGTTTCTTATGGTTTAGCATATAAGGTGATATCATATTGATAAAGGTGTATGCTAATTCACTAGTAAATTGAAAATTTTTGTGTTGTCTTACTAGATGTTTCCTAGTTGAAGTATGGTTTACTCCATTATTTGAGGAGTCTACATTCAAACTGATTTTTTGGTTGAGGTTGATGCGCAAGAGAATGAAGTTATCATGTTATGAGCTTGCTCTATTTTAGTGATTCTTTGGCGAACACTATTTGAATTTTATTGGCTCAAAAATTTGGAAATGCACTCGAACCTTTTATGTTGTTAAAAGTGCAACTTCATGTTTCTGGAGATAAATTCAAGATTCTAGAGGAAATTCAAAATTCTAGCCTCTGAAAATGATAGCGCTAGATAATTTCTTGGCATAAATCTCCACAGACTTTTACTTTCTTGAGTACCCTTTGCAGGAAAAAAAAAAACTAGTCCATACAATAATTTTTTTTTGTACTTTGTCTTATATCCTGTGTACTGTTGATCTTCAAAGTCCCTAGCTGGAATGATATGGTTTTCTCAATGATGAAATAGCAACCTGCATGCTACCATGTGAAGATAGAAAACAAATTGATGGCTACCTATATATTCCACTTAAAAAGGGAAACTAAAGAAAATGTTTAGCTTTGTACAACAATTTTCTCTAACAAACTACGAGTGCAGTATCTCTAGTACAAATGAGACTGTATCTAGCCACCAAAAAATTCCATGGCCATAAGAAATCAATTAGAGGCATAAAGAATGAGTAAACTTTGCCTAAAGAAATCAATTTGGTATGTGCATGCATACCCTTTGGAATTTGAATTCTATTAGAATTGGTGGAAATATGATATTTTCATTTGGAGAGGATATGGTTTACTTGTCTGAAGTACTTATGGCTCTGGTTTTTTAACGATGTCCTATTGCAAATATGAAAGGACTTTATTCAGAACTTCGTATTACTAAAGTAAACTTTTTTAGAATTTGTTTAATACATCTCAAGTTAAAGTTTGTTGTTCGTAGGTTTTTTGCTAGTAATGTCTATTTTTCTTAACAATTTGCTGTTTACATTCAAATTTATGTGATCATCATGTATGTGACAAGATTAGTCTTTTGTTATTTTGAGCTTTCGTCTCAATGAAACATGGCTCAAGTCCTATGACCGACAATGTCTCATAGGTAAGTTTGGGTTAAACATGTGTGTTATGAACTTACTATTGATGTAATTTTTCTTATTGTCAGAAACTCGATTAACAATGTGTAGTTTTTATTTGTTGTTTTGAACTTAATATTGATGTTGCTTCATTGTTGTAGATAAGATACACCTTAGTTAAACTTTTTCCCCTGTCCTTTTGCTCAAATTTTGATTGTTATTGCTCCAAAGTGAAATATTGTTCAAGATTACAGTTATATCTACATGGACCATTAGCATAAATTTATCGTGGTTTAGTAATGTGTGAGTGCTTGATCTCTACTGGATATGGACATGTTATATTAAATGTATGCAATTTTATTGAATTAGTTTGTGAATGAAGTCATTCTCACTTTAGCATCGAACTACCTGAAAATCTCATTCCTTGAGTCATGTGCAAGTTGACCCCAATTGCTTGTTTTCAGAAAATTTTCTTTTGAGAAGTCTGGGTAATCATGTAGGTTTAATAAATTATGAACTAAAACAGTTTAAGAGCATGAAGTACCAGAGCATCTTTTAGAGTTGTTGCATTCTACTGTTTGTGTTAATAGTTCCTTATTAAATTATTCATACGGTGCAGGATGTGGTAGTGGTTTGAACTAACAATCATAATCTAGCTTGTTTTTAGATAATTTAGTTTTTTTGCCCAACATGGTAATTTGTTGTTAATATTTATTCATATTCAAATGATATTCCTAGGTTTTGTCAAAGTTGTAAGTGGAATTTTGTCTTTGGTTTGCAGGCGTGGAAGAAGATTACAAACGATTTCGTTTGTTGTATGGAAGTGTGAGACTGTGATTCAAGGGTCATCCTCCTTCTTCAGAAATTTCTTGTATTATTTTTCCTTTTTTGAACACTCCTTCAATTTCTATAGAATTTCAAGCTTGGTATATCAAAGACCAAATTGACTATGTAATTGTCAGTTGTACCTGCTCTTTTTATATAGGATGATGTTTGAGCATGGCTTATGGGTTGAAATCAAGGTTTAGATAGCTACAGTTTTAACGCACAACATGTGGAATTGTTACTTATTTGCTTTGATATCAACTTATTCTCACTTTGAATATGTGTGAAATATGAAACGAGCCTTAAGTATTTTCCAGCCTGGATATCTGTGAAGTATGGAATGGTGATTTGTTATTTTGATGCTTTTTTTTGTAAGATACCTGATATGTTTGTAGAGTTTTCTTCATTTTTATTTTGTTGAAAGTCTTGCAAGTTATGGTGGATAATGAATTTGAAAACTTAGCAAATGTAGTTATCACCGCCAAAATTAGCTAAATTTGTGTTTTTTGGTTACTCTTTTATACATCTCCATTGCATTTGATGTAAACAAGACAGGTTAAGAGAATAAATTTTCTTAAAACATCAATTTTAAATTCAAATTCATATATAATAAAGTATCCAAACACTAGATTTTGAAATCAAAGATTTCAAATCTTTTTATTTAATAAAGATATCCAAGCAAAAGATTTGTTAAATAATGGATTTCAAATCCTAAATTTAAAATATTTTGTGGATATATATTAGAGCATAATGTAGAGTTTGTTTGGTGGGACTATTTGCTTAAATGGAGCTCTTAGCTTTCATATATTCTTATTTGATACAAGAATTATATTATGAAGAATAAAAAAAAAAGGTTCTTAGAACTATTCTAGACATACTGTCATTCTATTAGCTAATTCTTTTGTTCTTTCTTGGATACTGGACAGGGAACCTGGAATTTCAAGAGATACTATAGAGGTTACTAAATGATAATACAAGTTACGGGTAAGATTATTGTATATTATTTTTCAGTTTCCTTCCATTCAAGGTGTTTGGGGTTTAACCACATTGAGTTTGGATCTAATTCCTTGAAATTTCAATGTAAAGAGTAAAGAAAACTTGCAATATGATAAAAAAAAAGAATTTTTTTTTGTTGCTTTTCAATTTTACGCAATATATAAATTCTTTTGCTGGCTCAAACATCTTTACATAATCCCCGCAGCATGTCGCAGACATAGCACTAGTTAGCAGCTATTGTTATGTTTTAATCCGTGCATGTTTAATGTACTGGACTAGATGCTTAATGACATTTGAGTTTTTGAGAGGATTTGGTTTGCCCTTGTTAGTTCTTACTTCTCCTGTTGCAGGCTTATCTCATTTGAAGATCACCTACCCTACCCACCATCACTATTTGCCTTTCAATACCCAACAGGGAAGAATTTATTTAATAATTATTGTCTTTTTTTTTTCTCCTATTTTCTGAGAAGGTAAACCTTCCATGTATTTGCTCAACAACGTTCTCAATCATCGTTCTAACTAGGGTGGAAATGAACCAAATAATTAACAAATAGTTCGATAATTATTCGAGTAACTATTCGGTCATACTCAATTCGGTAGTTCATTCAACACACTAAACAAATACTTTTTAGTATTCGAGTTTACTATTGAATAAAATTTAACCAGATGTAAATTCGATTTGTTTGTCCATATATTTGATTAAATTTTGATCATTTATTATTTGTATTATTGCATAATGATGTCATATTTTTAACCCACTTACCATTTTTACTTAAATTTTATGAACAGATTTTAAAACTTAAATAACCTTAAATCTATTCTCTAATGGAAATTTTGATTTAAATATATATATATATATATATATACACATATATTATGAAGGAATAATTTTTATTTATGAATTTAAATACCATTTAAAAATCAATTTTTTTAGGGGAATAGATATACTTTGATATTCGATAAGTATTCGTGAATATTCATGAATATTTATCAAATATCAAGCATTCAAGTTCAAATTTGAAAAACTTCATATATGAATATTAAAGTCAGCATTCAAATTCAATAATTTTAAACAAATACAAATACAAATACCTTAATATTCGATTCGATCATTTACCATCCTTAGTTCTAACAGCTTTATATGCTGTATCATATTAGTTAACCCTGAATCAGATTCTTGTTGACGATAGCAACATTACAGAGAATTTTCTCTCTTTATTTGTCCTGATAACAATTGCAATCATCAGTAGTCACACGAGTTATGGCGTGAAATTAAAATCAAAAATAACATCTCATGAACTAATTTTGTTTCTTTACATCGCAGACCGAGGTTTCCTCGAGCTCTTTCTGAACTCGGATCACAGTGGATGTTGGGATTAATATGTCTGCGCTATTAAGTTTCCTTTGCATTTTGCCAAAGGCTAACAGCAAGCCTATGGCCTCCTGACTTGCATCAACAGTGAGAATTTGCCTGCATGTGAGAAAGGGAAGGATGCAATTAGCACAGGAAAGAAATACATGCAATGATACAATTCATGTAAACAACTGCTCAAATAGTAGCAAGTGTAATATTTTGAATACTAATGGGAATACAGGGTGCGTACGTTCAAAAGAAGGACCAAAGTCATAATACTACAGAGTCTACAGTATGCACGAAACCGATAACTGGAAAAATCTCGATATACCTAAATGGAATTGAATCAGTTTGCTGCAGTCCAATGGTTGTACTCGTCCATTCGAATTATGAAGGAGCTTGAGCTAGGCTTGCCACCTCCTCCATATGCCTTTCAATTTTCATATGCAAATAGAACCACGGATCATTAATCCATTCTAATAAAGCAATTAGAAACTGACGACAAATACATACCCTGGCAATTTCTGAAGTATCTGCTGCACCGTTAATACTCCTCAAGCGCATCTTCAGATTCTTATTCCGTTGCATAAATATAGCTGCTCCTATAGGTCTGCCAGAGACAATAAAACTCCTTTAGGAACTTACGTAGCAGTAAGTTAAATAATGATTTAGAGGTGTGTATTCATAGATATTCAAATCAAAGTTTGGGTTTTTTTTTATATTAGTCCCTTAAAAACAATAATATTTTGGATTAGTCCCTATAATCATTGGAAGTGCTATTAGGTCCCCCCCAATTCCTATAACTTGTTTCAAAATTAGTCCATTAGATCATTGAAATTGCTATTAGGCCCCCAATTGTTCTAAATTGTTTCAAAATAATCCCTCCAACCAAGAGTAGCGATAGCAGGATTTAAGACTTCGGGAACTGAATAGCAATTTCAATGATTTAAGGGCATAATTTCAAAATATTGAAGGTTTAAAACAAATATCGAAAAACCTCTAAAGTTCATCTATGTTGCATATCAAAGCAAAATATATATATATATATATGGCAAAAACTTTGGTTTTCTTTGTGAGCATTAGTAAGTATAAGGCTCATATTTTCATTAATGAAACATACTGGCTGCAGTGATGAATTCGCATGACATGAGGACTACAAAGTATAAACCAGAGCACAAAGACAAGGCCTCCAAATAACAAAAGGTATACCATGCCACAAAGGTAATAGAAAAAAAAAGCTTAATAACAAAAGTCCATTTGAATACCCAGTGTGAGTTAATACATAGGCAAACATAGTACCTTAAACCAGCAGCTTCACTTCTCCTACTAAGTTCCAGACACATTTCATGGCTCAGATTTGAATTACCATCAGCCCGTGTCGCCTAAAAAAACATCAAATTGAGCTTATAAAAAGGTGGTAAATAAGCTAAGGGCAAAACAATTGACCGACAAATCTTATTACAATATGATTATAACAATCTAAAGTTAGAACCTTAGTTTCATAAACATGAAAATTACATTTAACCTGTAAATCTGAAATACATGAGCATAGTACTATAAAACTGCATGCCAAAAAGTACCAAGCACTCGCCATAAGTTCCTCTTCCAAGCCGAATCCTGAAAGTTTTCCCTAACAATTCATTTGCAGCATCTTGACGCGAATTCACATAGGATTTTCCCTTCGCAATCAACTCATCACAATCTAATTTCATAAGCTGCAAAAATTCATAACTAAACTCAAAAAATTACCAACAAGAAACACAAACCAGAAGTTTATATGATCAAAACCTGCTCAAATACAGAAGGATTAGTAACACAATTCAACCTCCCCATCTCTTCTCTGATCCCAATCTTAAACGCTTCAATATCACAAAGCTCAAACCTTCGAAGATCCAAATCCTCAATGTACCTCAAAACATTTGAAACCTGACATCCATCTTCATCATCAAATAATTCCACACCCCCTTTTGAGAAATAATCGTGAACAGCACGTACACTGCAAATGCTCGTATCAACATGCAACTCAAGATTCCCTGGAATCATTCTGAGCTGCTTAATTCTCATTGCTGAAGACTCACGATGATCGAAAGCAATCACCCTAGCAAGGGAAGAAAAAGATTAAGTAGCTGTTTGGTGTTTTTGCAATTGTGAATACAGCAAATTTTGCATGTAGAAAAATGATGCATACAACATTTTTTGCTGGAAATTAACTTTAAATCCATATTTCGAATGATGCATTTTCAAAATCAAATCTATTTGACTAGTGTAAAAGTTGTTATATTTGCCAATCCAAATATTTGTTTATTTTCAACTGTTAAAAAAAAACCTGAACTTTATGATTTGGAATCAACCAACTTGAGGACACAACATTAGTTTTCAAAAAATTTTATTAATCATTAAAAGGACTTGTAGCATTTTGCTGCATTGCATCTTTTGTCTACAAAATGTAAACATAATTACCGTTTTTAAGTATCTTGTCCTCAATCAAATATCTTGAAACAAAACATTTGATTGTAGCATTTACTAACGCAGCTCTATCAAAAAAATCCCTAAAAAATGAGTCTTTTTTACCTCGGGATGATTTGGGAGAGCTCAAGAGCGAAATTCTTCGGCCCAATGAAGTCGAGAAGATAGCAATTCTTCAAGCCGCCCCCAAACTCAAAATCCTCTATCCTGAAAAAAAAAATACAAAAAATTACCAAAAGAAAAAGGGAACTTTTTTATGGGTTCATTGAGAGATTAAGAAACCTGAGGGGTTCTACGGAGGAGAAGGGGAGGATGAGGGCGGAGGGGAGGCGGCGGTGGGCGAAGAGGGCGGCGTATGCGCCGGAGAATGAGGGGTAATTATAGAGGACAAGGGTTTTATTGGGATTGTCGTCGTCGTCGTCGATGAAGGATTGGAGAGCGTCGAGTGCGGATTCAGAGCGAAAGTTTCGGGCTTGAGGGCGGCGGCGGAAGGCGGCGGAGGCGATGTAGTTCAGGCGAGACATGGAAATGGGCTAAGGTTGGGTTGTAGAGAGTGAGCAACCGCCTTGGCCCTTTACTAAATGAGATGGGCCTTAATGGGCCGTATCGTTGATTCAAACGCTAGCTCGCCAGCTATGGCCCTTTGGGAGAAAAAGACCTGCAAATTTTATTTATTATTGAGCGGTACATTACCACTTAAGAAAGAAAAGTACGGGGCTGATTTATAACTCAAATCTATTTAAATTGCTTTAAATAATGGCCTCTAGAAACCACCAGAGTTTTCCATATTAGACCCCAAATTGTTTATTGGTTTATATTAGACAGCAAATCTTAATATTTTCTAAATAACACCCCTAATCTATTAATTCCAAAATGTAAGCATAACATGTTATTTGAAACAGCTTAATAGATGATTTGAGAGTCCAATATACAACGAGGAAAGTATTTAGGTTCTGAAGACAAAAACTTGTTTTTGTCTTGTCACCCAACAAAGGTAGTTAAGAAGCATTTCATGCGTCTTGTACCCTACTTCACCTCATAGTAAAGGTCACACCGAAGAAAGAGATAAAGAGAGACGAAAACAATCATTACCCTTACTAATGACCTAATTTATTTCTCTATAATAAGGGGAGGACTCAAGGACCACTATTCATATCACAGTAATTTAATGTAGCGTTTTTAAAAATATATTATTATAGCATAGGAGGGATACGGTAACATCATTTAAAAATATAACTGTAGCAGTTTAAAAATATGTCACTGTAGCAGAGGAGGGGCGCTGCAGCATTTTTAAAACATATTACAGTAGCATATAATACTGTAGCCATTTAAAAAAGGATTATTGTAACGATAAAAAAAAAGGAAAAATCATGCCTTCTCATGGGGCACACTAGTTTATAGATAAGTAAATACCAAATATCGAAATAAGTCATACGGAAAAAAATAGAGAAACTATACCAGAAATAATAAATAATAAAGAAAAATGGCGCGGGATTTAGTCTCGGGCGGGTCGCCGCCTCTCTCTGCGCAAATGAAAAGCCAAAACAACCAGAGAGAATATAAAAGCAGATCCCGCCACTAAACTTGAAGAATTTAGAGGAAGAGGCGCGCTCTTCCTCTTCCTCTTCCTCTTCCTCCTCTCTCTCATCAGCTTCTCCTTCTCCTCGATCTCGCTGCCCTCTGCGCTTCCTTCATCCTCACTCGAGAATGCAGTCGGAGACTTCTGCTGTATCGGATCGAGATCTGGTTCCGGCCTTCGATCTGCCGTCTTCTCGAGGTTAGGATCTTCGTTTTCTTGTTTGAAATCGTGATCAGGTTCCAACTCCTTTTCCTCCACTAGATCTAGATATCCTGATTCATCAACACTAGGTTTTTCATCATTTTGCTCAAAATTTTGATCTGGACCAGGAGTCTCTTGTTCTCGATCTGGATCTTTCGTCGTCTCTTCAGGTGGAATTTCTAGTTCTCGAGGTGTCGATTCTTGTTCATGATGTTGATGTGTTGCTTCAGCCTCCGTAGTTCCATCATCATCCGGTGGCTCTTGAATATCTTGATGATCTATTGGTTCTTCTTCTTGTTCTTGATGTGGCTTGGTTGTTTCGGTCTCCGAATCTTGATCAGGAGCGTCTAGAGCAGGAATTTCTAGTTCTCGAGGTTTCGGTTCTTGTTCTTGATGTGGATGTGTTGCTTCGGCCTCTGTAGTTTTATCATCAGGTGACTCTTGAATATCCTGATGATCTATTGGTTCTTCTTCTTGTTCTTGATGTGGCTCAGTGGTTTCAGTCTGTGAATCAGGAATTTCTAGGTCTTGAGGTTTCGGTTCTTGTTCGGACTCAGTGGTTTCAATCTCTGAGTCTTGATTCGGTGTGTCTCGAGTAGAAATTTCTAGGTCTTGAGGTTTCGGTTCTTGTTCAGGCTCGGTGGTTTCAGTCTCTGAGTCTTGATTCGGTGTGTCTCGAGTAGGAATTTCTAGGTCTTGAGGTTTCGGTTCTTGTTCTTGTGGATGTGTTGCTTCAGCCTCTGTAGTTTCATCATCACCAGGCGACTCTTGAATATCTTGATGATCTATTGGTTCCTCTTCTTGTTCTTGATGTGGCCCGGTTGTTTGAGTCTCTGGACCTTGATCAGGAGTACCTAGAGCAGGAATTTCTAGGTCTTGAGGTGTCGATTCTTGTTCTTCTTGTGGATAGGTTGTTTCAACTTCTTGATCTTCATCAGGTGACTCTAGTCCTTGGTCTTCTTGAGGTATCGGTTCTTTTGTTTCTGTCTCTGATTCTTGATTCGGTGTGTCTAGTGCAGGAATTTCTAGTTCTTTAGATACCGGCTCTTGATCTTGATGTGGATCAGGATCTTTTAATGGACATATTTTCTCTTCTGGTTCTTGAGGTGGACTTCCATTCTCTGAATCTCGATACGGAGCTTCTAGTTCTTGAGCTACTGGTTCTTGATCTTGATGCGGATCGGACTCTTTTAATGGACATATTTCCTCGTCTGGTTTTTCATGTGTACTTTCATTCTCTGAATCTTGATCCGGAGCTTCTAGTACTAGAGCTATCGGTTCTCGATCTTGATGTGGATCGGGTTCTTCATTTTCATCCAACTGCTCCAACTCCGTAATTTCTTCAGGATCACGCGATTTCGGTGTTTGATCTGATGTCTCTAAACTCGGAATTTCTTCTTCGTGTTCGATCAGATCTGGTATTATGGGAATCTCAATCTCTTGTTGTGATTCTTCTTTTGGTTCTATTTCTTCATTTGAAATCGAATCTTCACTTGGATTAAGATCCACATCTCGTTCAAATGGCTCAGGCAGTTGTTCATCTTCTATTTTCTCCTCTGGCATCTCGATCTCCATTTCTGCTTGATCCTGTTCAGAATCACCATCTGATTCTGTGGGTTTCTCTTGATCTCCATCGCAAGAAACCTCCTCGTCCTCTTCTTCTTTACTTGTGATTGTAGCTTCCTCTTCTTGAATTGCGTCAATGACTTCTGCCGGTGTTTCCTCTGTTGCCAATTTAGGCATCAAAACTACGAGAGTTTCCTCGTCCTCGTAGAACTTAGCATCAATCCGTCCAATTTCAACACCATCAGGAATCTGAAACACTCTGCAAAATCGCTCAATCTCAACCTCTCTAGCGACATTCACGAGCCTCAATACCTTCACCTCCTCCAACGACTCCACCCTTCCCGCTCCACAAATACTAATCTCCCCGCTCTCCTCATCAATTTCCACCTCAATCTCATCCTTCTCAAACCCTGCAAACGATCACCATTTCCAATTAAAAATTACCGGAAATAGAATGTGAGTAATTACTAACTATAGCAATGAGTTCTACCTGGTAGATGAGCGAGGAGGAGGAACAAGGCATCAGTTTCGGTGGAGGTGAAGGTGAGATTTCCATTACTCCTCCTTATGGTTACTCCTAACTCCAATTCCATTGCACTTTCTCTTTTCTATTCATTTTTCTTTTTCTTTTTTTTTTGTGAGGGGGGTGTTAATGTATAAAAAGCTTGGATGCTATTAATTGGTGGGACCGAACCGACCCGAACCGACCCGAAAAAAACGGTTTTAAGAGTAAGGCGGTTCGGGTCGGGTTGACAACTTTTCAAACCGAACCGACCCGAACCGACCGAATATATTTCCAAAACTTTCAAACTCGTTCGCGTTTACCCGACCCGTCCCAAACCCTCAACCCTAACTTCATTTCCTCTCATTCCCAAATCCCAACCGCCGCTACTCATTCCCAATTTCCCATTTCACTCGGCCTCAATCCCTCTCTCTTGCTCTCTCTCTTCTTCCAAGACCCCTTACTCTCCCCTCCTCTTCCCGAAATGCCCCTCTCCCTCTCCCCCTCCCGTAAGCGTGACATCCCCATCGACGACGAGCGCTAGGAGTTCTTAGTCATGGCTCAAATGATTTGCATTTGGGCGCATATGAAAACAAATATATACAAATTATCTCTTGGGACAAGCAATATTTATGCCTATGATTGTTATACTTGATGAAAGTTAGAACCGAACAAACCGAACCGAACCGTACCGAACCGATTTGCAACGGTTCGGTTCGGTTCGGTTTTGAATTATAGGTGGTTCGGTTCGGTTGTTCAAATTTTGGTAAAAACCGACCCGAACCGAACCGTGCTCACCCCTAATTTCTTCCACCTTTAGATAGAAGAGATGCTGAGAGAAGAGCGTGTATAAAGGCAGGTTAGAAGTGGAATGGTCCAAAGTTGCTTTCTCAATCGCGTGGGCGGTAAGTTTTGAAATTGGCGGTGGCTGGGTCGGAGAATCTCTCTTCATTTGGATTGGAATTTTTTGTTGGATGCTATAGGACTACGAAAGAAGATGATTGGGCCATAATTCTGGCCCATTAGGTTATTACTTGAACGAGTCTTTTAAAAAATCACAAAAAAATCTGAAAAAACTACTAAAATAATTAGATGTCTGCATCTATTTATGGAAGGAACTATAGCGTGTTTGTTTTGAGCAGACTGTTATATGAGAAGATATACACCGACTAAATTAAAGAGGAAATCCTTATCTTCTTACTCTCCAAATTAAACTACTAAGTAAGTGTTGGAATCATGACATACAACGCAGCGGAAAAGGCATATCATGACTATTAATTAAAATTAATTAAATATTAGAAGAATATCTGAAACGCTTTCCGAATTTCTACAATAATCCGTCCCAAGATCAATCCGAAATAGCTTCCTTAAGAAAAAAAAGCCTCCAATTGAAATCCACTCGTCACCGTAGAGGAGCAATACTGAGAGGTAGGTTCTCAAAAATCTATTTCTTCATATTATCTTCATAAGATTTTTCAATCTCATCTATCTCTTCTCATAATGCTACATATGAACCCTATTTATAAGATTACACTAGTCTTAGAGATTTTAACTTTAAACAATTCATAATTATTTAGAACTTTATCCATAACAATTAAAGATAGAATAGATTTGTTCAAAAACTTTATCCATAACAATTAAGGATAGAAATAGAATTGTATTGCATGTATACCTCTTCTAATGACATTAGTGAGACCAATTGGGTCCCATATCGAGAACTAATTATTAATCAAATTAATAATTTTAATTTAACAATCAAATCTCTATCCGACCAACTGTTCATAAAAGCTCTTCCATAATATGTCCGACCAACTGTTCATAAAAGCTCTTCCATAATATGGGATTAAATAATATCTTACATTCACTCCCTTCTAGTATCATTTATTTTAGGTAACTCTTTTAAGCAGGATAACTCACCTATTTGCTCATGCCTAAATTTGCAATTCCCATGAACATAAATAAAAATCATTTTGAAACATCAAAATATTTTATTTTTATAAGAAAGTAAATTTTTAAAAAATATTTTTAAAACCACCTGCCGGTAGGAATTTAATAGCTTCATGGGAATATATAATAAATTAACTCATCATAATGAGCGTACTGGATCCTATCTAGACATCCATCATTTTCCTAAAAGAAATTTAGCAACCTAATGTTTCAGGTTGTGTAGCGCTTGCTAAACAAGCTTAACCATCACATCAAAGCATACTAAATTATCAAATATAAAATGACTATCATCAAGTTAAAGGGACCATGTAACAATTTGAATTCTCTATCTCTTAGGTGACTCATCCTAGAGAATTCAAATACAGTCTAGTGCAACACACATCATAATGCGTGCTTATGACATACACCCGGAGAATCTCCATTCCCGATGGTTGAGACCCACCACCATATCTCATATATCGGTGTCATACATAATAACCTGTTATAACAAAGTTATCCTTTACTAGTTATAGGTTAAGCACAAATTTAAGAAATTTCTAAGTTAGATCATATCTCTAAGCAAGTGACCATCACAGTGCATGATCTAACAAAATAATTTCTAAGGATATATATAACAATTATATAAATAATACCCAAATTATGTGCAACAATTAAATTTATTAACATTACAATATTATAACATAATATGTATTGGATGTTCAAGGGCAAATTATTATTACTATTCCAGCAGTAAGAACAACAATATCTCAATGCTCATCTCTTTTTAATTAGTGCCTACATGGCACTGTGCAGCTGTGCTTGATATCAGAATGCCCAATAGTATAGCGTTTCTGCTAATAGTATCGTTAGCGTTGAGTGTCCTACCGCCTCTGCCGAAAGCATCGACCATGGAAACACCTGCTTCATAAATAAGGGTTTTCTCCCAAAAAATAAAAAATAAAAAGTCTAGGTATGATCTACTCACATAATTTTCTATATCCAAGTCTGTCCATTAAGATTTACCATCTAGAAATCATTAATTTGAGTGTTAGATCGAGGATCTTTGACGGGGACCAAACCCCACTCTGAATGCTTCTTAGACATTATGATCATTGTCATCAGTGTCATCGTCAAATCATCCAAGTTCTTTTGTTTGAATTTTATCATCTATATCTGCATAAATACACACTACCATCCCCTTTGCTCTTTAGTATTAACAAAGCGGATTTCAATTTCTAGTAGGAATCTTATTTGTTCAGTTATTCTCAACTGTGAATCTGTGATGAAACAGTAGGGTGACAAGCCACCAACACATGCCAACAAATGCAGCATTACTCTTCGGATATTTAATAAATTGTGTCACAAGATGTTGGAAGCCTTCCAGAAAAATACACCTCCCTGTTGTGTTCATATCCCAGTCACGAGCGACAACGCAGGGACAGAGTGAGAAATAAAAGCTAGGATTAGATTCATACGTTGTCAAACAAAGCGCATGACCCATGGCCTACAGAATCTCAAGATTTACACCGCCACCATGTTCAGTACTAACAGAGCCATCCCAAGTTAAAATTACACAACACCTCTAACATCAGAAAGTAAAATTATCTCTTTCTCACATCCATAGGCCCAAGATCGAAGTAGAGAACATGATCATCACGACCACCACCAACCCCTTGCCATTTCGAACGGTTGAAGACCCAAGCCCCACCTCCTGCAAACCGCAACACCCGAAACTTATGAAAATGAAGTTTTCGGGGCAATCTTAACAGAACTATATACCACGAAGTTTAGTGCATTTTGCACAAAGATATCATAAAATTTTTATTAGAAGGAATTGTCATGAACATATTCATTAAACGATCACGCTTGACTAGGTTGAGACTACAATTGTCATTTCTTAACATTTCTGTTCAAAATGTATTTTATATATCTTCCATATATACGCATACAAGTTACAACTTGTAGATTCATGTGTTAAGAACTTAATGTAAATAAAGGATAATAACACAAGATGCTAATGTCGCTAACAACAATTTTCAATGGTTCAGGAGTCAAGACAGTTTTTACCGTTTGGAAATTACGTTTATTGTTGTTTTGTTAAAAAAAAACACCCAAATGTATGCATTTTTATGGAAATTCATATTTTTATTATCTTCCAAATTAAAAACAATTGAAAAAAAATTAAGACAAACCTGAGTGCCATCACCGGGGGTTGAAAAAGGCCGAATACTCGCAGAATCCGTAACCCCGGTGGGCAGCGGAACAGCTGGATTACTGCTAAGAAACGGAATGCCACTCTCCGGTGCACCAACAGGCGTCACCCCCAACGGAGCTCCCTCTTTCGGCACGAGAGGCGAAGTTTCCGGTGCGGGGCTGTGACTGTGAGAGCCCGGGGAGCTAGGGACCCACCCCCAGCCGTGGGAAGGAGAGGACGAGAAGTCT